AGTGTGTAAAAAAAATAGGAGGAAAGGAATGTAGAGAAAAGATATCGAGACGCGACTCGAGCAAGTGTAACATCGCGACCGAGCCGTACAAGCCCGAGACCGTGTATAATAATAATAATAATAATAATAATAATAATAATAATAATAATAATACGTCTTGTGTAATATAAAAGCCCGCGTGCGCAGATATAATATATATATATATGTATAGGGGTATATATATATGTTGTAAAAAATATTTATATATATATATACATACACGAAATGTGAATAATAGGGAAGGAACTGTGTATAAACGTTCGTAGTTTACGTCGCGTCTAGGTTTAATACGTTAAATCTCTAATAATCGGCACGGCTCGCTCGCGATTTTGCTCGATTTATCAACCTCTCTTCAGACCCCTCTTTGTATTTGTATATCTCTCTCTCTCTCTCTCTCTCTCTCTCTCTCTCGCACAATGCAGACGTAAACAGGGTATTTGGGGGAGGGCCGGGTGGCTGGTGGTCGCGCGCGTTGCGCCGCGAGGTTCGAAAAAATGGTGGTTCGTCTCGACGGATTGGCATTGTCCCCGCTGCCCAGTGGCTTTGTCAAAAAGACCGCTTTTGGCGGGCTGCGCACGGTGCGGGCGGACGAAAATCGACGGGCGAGCGGGCGCGGTCATCGCGTCCCGGCCGGACCCCTCTATTCTTCTTTCTAGTGAGAAAAAACCGATCGCGAGAGAGACATACATGTGTGTGTGTGTGTACGTGTGTGTGTGTGTGCGCGCGCGCGCGCTCGCGTGTGTGTGTGTGTGTGTGTGTCCGTAATTAGTTAGTCGCGTTAGAGTTAATTAATCGCGAGTCGCGTCTCGACTCTTACTGCGAACGTAATCTCTCTATCGCGGACGAAGAAGCACACCTGTCGCGAAACTTTGGTTGGATGGTGATTACGCGCGCGCGAGAAGTCATGTATATTTCCGACTCTGAAAGATATATATGTGTGTGTATGTACATATGCGAGTATATTTTTTCGAGAATACGCGAATAAGAGATAAAGATAATATATTTCCGAAGTATGTGTAAATATATCACACGTCGACGTAGTGCTTCTTCTACGGACAGAGAGAATACGTGCTCGATATAATCCGATCGCCGATCTCGTTACGTCATACACAAGTACAAATAGACAGACACACCACACACACACACACACACACACACGCGCGTTTTTCTCTTTCCATTTTCTCGTCCCTTTTCTTCCCTGTCCCTTCACGCACACGAGATAGGATGAACGGAGATCGCGCGTCGTTTCCATCGCGTCGAACTTTGCAGGTCCTACGTTTTATGCAGGTGTTGCAAACTTTCGGATGGGAACCGGCGCGCTTCTTTACGAGAGGAACGACGCACGATTCTCCGAGATGGGCGAAGGGATCGTCGACGAGCATTTCCTCGCGCCCGTCGAGCATCGATCCCCGAGATTCCTGGCCGCCCTTCTCGGACTCTCCGCCGCGTCGGTCTCTTCTCGCCCATGTATCATATATTAAGATAGGTCGATGCGCGCGCGCCCCCCTCTCTCTCTCTCTCGTTCGGGGGCGCCGCGCGAAGCGAATATATGTTCACTAAGAAACGATAGTTTAATTTAACTTAGGGTTATAGGAAGTGTCGCCCGGGGAGGACGTATACTTAAATGTAAAAAGAAAATGAAATCGGTACTCTCTTACGACCGTCGCAGACGAGAGTCCCCTCGCGGATCTGCGGCTGGACACGCAAGCAATAACAGCAAGGCCTTGCGCGAATTTACTGATGCCTACTGTTTCGGTACAGAGCAAAAACGCTTCAAACTATTAATTGCAGTATTATTAAATGTATACAGATTAAGTATAACACACACACATACGCAAGTACACGACACATATACACGACGTGCGCGTTTATAATCATACAGACACACATTATACTACATGTACACACACGCACACGCAACATGCGCAACTATAAGAAGACTTTGTAAATAGTTAGAATGTAATTGATATTATATAGGCGCCAAGATCTATTAAGGATAAACATCAAATTTATTTATAGTAAATTTTCCGAAATATCACATAAACCTGCGTTTTTCGATTCTTACCTTCTACGACTCTTACCCGTCCCGATAAATTCCCTCGGACACATCACGCGCCTTGCGTAACACTTACGTAATTAGTCACGAGACACAACCGTTTGCTCTCTGAGAAAATAATTCATGCAAGTTGTATATCTGTATCTTTCACTTACGTACTTCTCATTTCTCTTTACTCTGAATTTTTCGATACTTTTCCCTTGCTCGTCGAATTCGTCATTACGCGTTTTCTTCGAGTATTACCAATGCAGAGTATCTACTACTTGGAAAAACTACCTGGAATTATACCTGGAAGTCTTAAGGAGCTTGTTTATGCGTGAAAAAACCAAGGAATTTTCAGAGAATTTTAAATAGACATTTGTTCGCAAGCCATTTTATTGTGTGTTGTTCATAGACAAATATTGTGTAGTTGGCTGAAATTTAATCATTGCAACTCGAATGATTCTTAATATATATACTTTCGTTTTACCTGGAATTTTCAACAAATTACCTAGAAATTCAAAGGGAATTCTCAAAGAAATTTTTCCGGGCTTGAATAGACACTCTGCCACTGTCTTTTACAAGGAGCTCACATAGTTGCGGACGGATAATTTATTTGCCATGAATAATTTACACGCGAATTTTCCGATACTGTACGTTAGTTTTTCTTTACGTTATCGCTATTTGTTGACTTGCGTTAACAAATGCTTCTTCAATTGCGGCATATTTTTCAGCCTCGTCGCGCACCTGTGGCATTTGAGTTCCGTGGTCAGGTGGCCTTCGCTTTCCTCGGGAGGGATTTTGCTTGTCTTGCGCAATTGACGGCGTATATCTAAAATTCAATTTGCCTGTACACGTGTATATGTGCATATCGATACAGTGATCATCCGATATTCTAAGTACATGTACACGTATGTGTATTTTTATGCATGTTAATCCAAACTTGAGGAAGGTAAAAAGAACGGTGTTGTGAACGAGTTCCAGTAGTACTTCATTTTTAAGCAAAGAAGTTGTGACGAAATCCGTGCTTATCACGTGCAGGTGAAGCCTCTGCATATTCGATACCGCGTGATAGCCGATGCTGCAAAAAGATATGGCAACGTGATTGATATGTTTGTAATTGATCAATTACCGAGTAAGCGGAATTCTATCTGCGTCTCAGAATCGGTGGAAGACAAGTGGTCCCGGACAGTACGAACTTCTAAGGCTAAGTTTTTTATTTTCTGGTTAACTTGTGGCTTAAACTTATATATATAAATATATATATATAAGCTTATGCTAATGAAAAAATTATGTTTTTCTATTCACGGTTAATCATTAAATTATAAAAGTTACCACTATAAAACCGTCAGTATAACTCTTTGACTCGTTTTATAGGTCAGATAGATCCGATGAGTTGCGTTTGAAGAACTATAGCGAAGAGAAGTACGTGATCTGTGAGTTCTTCTTTTTGTTGGGCTTGGAAGAGAACACCCGATAGTGACATTAAACTTTACGTAGATGTCATTGTTCAAAGTCAAATAAAGATCAACTTCAATTTTTTTAATGGAATGTTTCGCGTGCGAACAGTTAACGTGCTAATTTACTGTGTGAAGCCTCATTTTAATAGAATTTATTTTACTAAATCAAGCTATTTTACAGTTTACGTACAATTTTGTACAATATAAATCTGTTACGATCGTTTTATTTCATTATACAAATTAATTATTATTACAAAAATATAGTATTATTTTCATAAAAATGTAATTTTTATTTTTTATTTTTACCGGAAATGATATTTCATACGTATATGCACATACAGAATGTTCATAACAGTATGTAAAGAGAGAAAAATAATGTGCGTAAATTAAACGGAATGTACGTCCGTATGCAGTGCTGTGTTTCTCATCCACGGAAATTGTAGGCGTAGCGCGGACATGCACCAAATGAAAATCGCATTATCATATTATCGGTAGTACCAGAAAGCGATTGTAGCGAAATAGTTTCAACGTCAAAAGTGGATGCAGATGGCGTGTCAAACAGTCGCATAAGACGGTATCAAGGAAAATGCCGCTTTCAGCTTACTTTCTGGTTCTGTTGCATTGCAACAGACAGTGACATTGTTGTTGATTAGTTGATTAGTTGATAAAGAACGTTTCAGTGTACATTTCTTAATTTCGTATGACCAGAGTGCCAGTTTGATAAAATGAAATTATCGTTTCGAGTAAAAACTTTTCTTTAAAAAATCCTATCCTGAAAAGGTTAATCGAAGTTCCGATAAACTACAGATTAAAGCAAGGTTTTATTATTTAAGAATTTAAAGAAACGGAAAAAGCAATTTGAACAAAATCAAGCTCAGTATTCAGTTTTACGATTCAGTCAGATATCGTTGTAAGAAATATAATATTGTGAATAAGTAGATATTAAAAGTAGAATTGAAAACATCATAAACTAAACTATTTCTCGAAATCTTGTGAAATAACTTTACATTATGTTTTTGACGTTAAATATGAATATTTATGATACTGACATCGCGTAAATCAGCTTGCTTTACAAACGTCACGAAGTGACAAACAAATGATAGCATACAATGACCCTTTCGTCATAAGAGGGTATCTAGATATTCTTTGGATTTTGCAATACTGGAAAGATCACATATTTGTACGTGGTTTTAATTCCTACAAGTTTTAGTGCAAACATAATTTACGTGAATTGATGATAAATTAAAAAAAAAATGTCCTTTTAGTAAAAATTTTTTTGGAAACATAATCATTGATATATCACGTAGACAATTAAAAGTTTCTCTGGCAAATGAAGTTTCATAATGATAAGTAAAAAAAAAGTGATAAATAGATAAAACAATTTTATATATTTCACTTAGTTTTGAATACAATTTTATGTGACAAATATCTTATTTTCTTCTTTTATAACAACAAGCAAAAATGAAAAGTTGGAAATAATTAGAGATAATGATGTAATAACAATTTTTTTGAACAAATAATTAGAATAAAATACTAGTAAACATCAGTAATTTAAAATGAATGATAACTTTAAAACGCCGATATTATATTTCATAGTGTCAAGTTGTTATTACTTCATTTGATTTCGTCACTTGCCATCATGTTCCTCTTATCATCATATTTCGTCATCATGTTTTTCTCATTTTATTAGTCGTTCGAAATCATGCTATATCAAGCTTCTATTTATCAAAGAGTTATGGTAGGGACGACTAAAGTTATCACAGTTTGATTTTTCCAATTTCATGTAGTTTCTGTGTGCTTGTCCGTAACGTTAACATTCAGTCATTCATATAGATCACTCAAGAATGAACATCCTCAAGTTTTACAAGGCACCTGGGTTGAAGGTGGGCCAGCTGAAAAACAAGCTACATAAGATATTACAGATTGAGACTTCGGTGATCGATCTTCAAACTGAATTTTGTTATTATGTGGAAATAGAGCAACCTTTGGAACTAGAAGAAATTCAGACGTTAAAATGGATCTTGTCACCTCCCTTTGAACATAAATGCTTGCGAGATTGCAGTGTGTTTGATGAAATTGAAGATGATTCTGTTGTTATTGAAATTGGACCCAGGTAAAGATTATTTTCATAGTGTTCGTGTTTTTTTTTATGCATAAATAAATGTTATATTTTTCATCTAATGGATTTTTTATTTATCATATATATAATTTTTATTGGATTAATATTATAAACACATATATACAATTTTGTTTTCCTCAATGAAAAGATGAATCTGTAACAAAATAAATAGAAAAATATTTAAAATAATGTTTTCTTTTTTTATAGGTTGAATTTCTCAACAGCATTTTCTAGCAATGTTGTTTCTATGTGCAAATCTGTCAAATTGGAAAAAGTGAAAAGAGTAGAAAGATCAATTAGATATAACATCAAGTACAAGAAAAGATTTAATAAAGAAATGGAGAATGTCGTATGTATAACTTTTGTATTATGTATTTGGATAATTTAAAATAATTTTTTTTAACACGTTCCATATCGAAGAATTTCGCGTGACTATCCATGTTTAATACACGTGACTATCAATCGATCACACAAAACAAACGTTTTTACTATGTGCTAGGTGATGTTTTTAAGAAAGCAAATAGTATAAAATATTTTGTGATTATAGAATTTTTAATAATGAAAATCGCTCATGGCTAAAATCAAAATTGTGTCATTTATATATATATATATATATATATATA